CCGCCAGTCTACAGGATGAGGCAGAGCTGGGTTGCACCAATGTTCAGTGTTGTCCCCAGGGTAGACCGAGGGGAACCTGCAAGCAGGCTGTTACAGGGCTAGGGGTGATGTAGAAATGGAGGACAGGAAGGATAGTGAAAATTGCCTACCTAGTCACAGCCTGCTGTGGCCACTCTTACTTTAATCCAGCCCGTTAGACTGCATCTTTTCAATGATAAATTGAGGCCATTTGCACTTAAGGTTATTATTCTAGAGAAGGGTTTGCAGCCAGGAGGTGGTGGTGCACACCTTTAATCCCAGCACGTGGGAGGCAGAGGCAGGCGGATCTCTGAGTTCGAGACCAGCCTGGTCTACAGAGTGAGATCCAGGACAGGCACCAAAACTACACAGAGAAAACCTGTCTCGAGAACAAACGAGAGGGGGGGGGGGGAGGGAGGGGGAGAGAGAGAGAAAGAGAAAGAGAAAGAAAGAGAGAAGGGTTTGCTATTTCCTATAAGTTTTTAGGTGATGTTCTGTTTTGTTGGACTATTGGCATTTCTTTTCATTTCCCTGCATTAGTTTTGTGGGCTCACGAAGTTGCTGTTTTGGACATGGTTGCTTCTTTCCTAAGTCCGGTTTGTTTATCTGTACTTCTGTGGCCTTTCATCTCCCCGTTTAGAGTATTGCACTAAGAACTTTCTGGAGTGCTGACTTGGTTGTCAGGAGTTGTCTTAACTTGTGTTTCTCTTCCAATGCCCTTATTTCTCCATTAGTGTTGAAAGGCTGCTTTGCAGCTGTCCATGTTCTTGGTTCAGTCATTTCCTCTCAGCACATGGAGTAGTTCCTGTTAAACTCTTCTGGCTTTTGTGCTTGCTTGTTAAAAGTCTGGTAGTTCTAATATTTCTGCCTTTGTACGTGAGTTCTTCTCTTTCTCATGCTGATTTTAGGATTTTTCTTAATTTTATATTTCTGACATCCTGACTAGTATGTCATGGAGAGATTCTTCACTGGTTATGGCTGTTTGGTGTTCTGTTACCTCCTGTGTCTGGAAGCCTAGTTTCTGTAAATTTGGTAATTCTATTCCATTCAGTTTTTCTTCAGCTCCGTGAATTCTCAGGGTTGGCCTCTTGAATGCATCACACACTTTGGAAACAGCATTCTTGTTCCTTGTTCCCTTATATATGTCTCGGTATTACTTTGTCCTCCCTTCCTGAAATTTGTTGTTCGTCATGGTCTTGTCTGTTAATGATAATGTCTGTTGTGGTTTTTTATTTGATTGACATCTCCTTTATTTCAGTTATTTGTGTTTGATTGTTTTTCAGTGTCTCAATCTTCTTGTTATTTTTCTTCCATATCTTGAACTTCAGTTTCAGTTTATTGTTATGTTCACTTGGGAGATTGTCTTGCTAAGGTCTTGGACATATTTTCTTAATTCCTGCATCTGTTTGTTTGATAATTATTTCTTTGAACAATAAAACTTAAATTCTTTCTCAGATATTTCAGCTCTCTGATTTTGGATTCCCTTCTAGAGGAGTTTCAGTTGGTGATGAGTCTGGGTGGTGGTTGTGTTATATTTTTTGTGTTGACTTTGTCATATTTTATGAATTCGTTGGAGTGGGTTTGTTTTGACTTTTTTCAAACCTTTTAAGATATCCTCTTTCCTGTGTCTTTTCCTAGAGGAATATCTGCATGAAGTTAATCTAGGGGGACTGATAAAACTTGGTGTTGATTGTGGTATAGATTGCTGAAGTGGTCCTCTCTTGGCTATGTGCCAACAGGACCAAGGCTGGGACTGGATACTTAACACCAACGTAATCAGATAGAATGAAAGTCTGGGTCATCCTTTGGAGTCTATGCATGTGCTGGAGACAGGGTACAAAACTTCATGCCCAGTGAAGTCTGTCTACTCTCTGGGGATGATGGTTAGAGCCACAGGCCCAAAGTGACCTCTGGGGCCACAGCAGTACAGATTCTGGTTCCTGCTAGAACCTCAGAGATGAGAACCTCATAACCATAGTGACATCAGAGACCACTGGAACCAACGTTCCAGACTCCCAGGGGACCCTAGGCACACTGGAATCGAAGCTCAGGCCCTGCACTGACCTTTGAGAACCACTGGACTGAAGTCCTGGTTGCAGTTTGGTTCCACAGAAACTGGAGGCACTGGTTCTCTCTAGTTCTGCAGAAGCCAGAGGCCTGAACACTCTGTCTTAACATAGTGGTAAATACACTAGTAAACACATTTTTAAATTTTTCTTCTCTTTTACAGCTTTTTTTTTTTTAAAAAAAAATAGAATATATAGCTGTGTTTAGATTTCATTTGTAATATGGTGCTTTCTTCATGGAAAATATTAAGAATATATTTGAAAATGTATATGTCACCAGAAAAAGGGCCCAAGTTTAAGGATATTGAAACAGCTCAATAAAATCTAAAGATGTGCTTATAAAGTCCTTTATGTAAATAAACTGTGATCCCATGGGAAAAACTAATAGCTTGATAGTCAGTAGATATGGCATTAGTGCATGTCCCATTGCCTTGTGGGATGTGTAAGCTGAGATCCTTACCATCTTTTTATCTTGTTTGGTAAGGATCTCCTCCAGAATTAACACTGTCCTTAGAGAGTCAAGTTACGTATTTAGCAATCAGCATGGACCTAATTCTTTATTGCTTATATATTTTCAGTTTTGAATGTTTGTTGTGTTGTTTTCTGAATGCCCAGCGTTCTTACATTCAGAATTATTGTAGCTACTTATGGTGGTTCTCACAGCAGATGTATAAAATTAATTTCAGGAAGAAAATTTTAGGGAATATTTCAATACAATTAGATTAGAACTAAGATTAGTGAGTTCTAATTGTTTTGATACGTTTTTGCTTGTTCATCCTGTGAGTAGTTAAGGCTCATTTTAAGATTACTTTTAGTATCAGGGGCTGAGGAGGTACTTCATGGCTTAAAACTGGTTTCTCCAAATTTGTTATTTGACAAAATTTCTTATTTGACAAAATTTCTAACCTGAAGACTTGCTGAATGTCTTGCCGAAATATTTATTATGGCAGTTATTTTTTCCAATTTTGAATTTCTTTCATGTGAGTGAATACAGCTTCCTGTAGACTGCTGTGAGGGGCATTGATCTATCTATTCCTCTGATCTGGGCTGATGATCTTTCTCACGAGATTTACATTTCACTTGTTATCAAAAATCACTTTGTCTCTAGAAAACTGGAGCCAGGAATGGCATTTCCATATGAAGGGAGGAGAAGGGGGATATCAGATGCTGGGCTTATTCCTGGTTCTAAATGGCTCCTGCATTTTGAGTTAATCTGTAAAACATTTGGGGTGTAGAAGCATGGGAAACTGCTCATCTTGTAAGATGACATGAATACTATGTTGTTTTGGTCATGGTAACCAAAGATACTTGCAATAAGTATAATAGTCTAACTTGTGGGAAGTAATGGGAAAGAAGTGGTCTGTTTTTTGACAATTATTTAATTATGAATAAATTTAAAAAGATAGATTCTTGATATGTAAATATACTTTATTTAATGCTAGAACACTGCTTTGATTGTAAAGGCATTTATGAAAGCTGATTCCAAAACATTTTAAGGAAAAGTTTAATTTGTTCATTACTGGATTTACTTACTAGATTTGACAGCATAAGGCATTGTATGAGTCTGAAAGTGTTCTCTATATAGTCAATAATTTAGGATACATAGAAATGTTATTAAGGAAATACTCAGTTACTTCTTCTGGAGACCCCCTTCCCTCCATCCCCCTCTTTCTCTTTGGTTTTGGAGGCAGGTTTCATTGTATAGCTCTGGCTGTCCTGGAACTTTGTAGACCAGGCTAGCCTTGAACTCACAGATCTGCCTGCCTCTGCCACCTGAGTGCTAGGATTAAAGGTGTGTGTCACCACCACCCTTGAGACTTCTCTTTGGTTATCCCTCTTATTTTTCAGTGTTTTCTGATGTTTTGATTACATTACTTTGCTCTAAAAAATTCCCCATAATTTAATTTTTTCCCTTAATTCTATGTCAATAAGGTTCACATATACTTTTTGGTGGGAGTTAGGAGGGTTTCACACTGTAACACAAGCTGGCCCGAAACTCACTGTGTTCCATGGTCTGGCTTGTACTTTGGGATCAGTTGTCCTGTCTCAACCTCCAAAGTGCTAGGATTGCAAGTATGACTCACCATATCCAGCTATTTTAGATATTTTCTAAAAAATATTTTTGAGGCTTTTGCCCTTTCCTCTGAGCACTCAAGTCATGTGTGATTCAGTGGAATTTGTCAGGAAGCTTCAGTCTTTGCACACCTCCAGCCCATCATGAGTACATTTGTTCAGTTCTGTGTAGTAGTGGGACTTGATAGCCACTCTCTAACAACTAGACAGTTCTGTCTGTGCACAATGACATGATCAGCAATGACACATTTCCTAAATTTTTAATGTATTTTTCAAATGCTTAGCTTTGTGTATGTACTGTTTTAACTTAGATCTGTCTCTGTATATTTATGTATCAGATTAATTATTTGTTGCAGAACAAAACTTTGTAACAGTGCATTTCTGAGGAATTACTGCTGAATTTTGAATGCTGAAAAGAAATGTGTTCATAAGTAGCTGTATTCACTTGAGGTATCCGACCCATAGTTGGTGTTCTCTAGGACTCATTATTGTAATGGAACTTCTGATCTCTGATGTCCCATGGAAGCCACTAACCAAGGTGGCTGTCAAACTCTTGAAGCATAGTTGAAGATCTGAATAGTCATTTTCAATTAATTAAAATGTTCATCTGTGGCTACTGGATTCTGTATTGGATTGTCAGTGGGAGGTCTTCTTGTACCAGAGTCAGTGTTCAAGAATCATGACTTTATAATAGAATGTTAAAAAGCACAGGGTAATGACAGGCTAGCATTAGATAATGGCCAAGGAATACAGACAATCAGTATTGATTTTAAATATGTAGAATTAATTTAGACCTTTAAAAAAAGGCATATACCATGTATGTATATCTTTTGTTTCATGCAGTTGCTGTGATTGGCTGATAAATGTTTGTCAAAGAAAGAAAGAACTGAAAGCTCGAACAGTATGGCTTGGATGTCCAGAGAAGTGTGAAGAAAAACATCCTAGGAATTCTATAAAAAATCAGAAATACAATGTATTTACCTTTATACCTGGGGTAAGACCATCATCTTCAGTGTCAATTGTATGTCTGAGATTGCTCCCTTCCTTTGCCTTCTGAAGAAGCGTGTGGAGACTGGTTGTTGATGGCACTGTCTGTTCACACTGGGGCCTTCCCGGTTCACACCTTCCCATTTCAAGTGGTTACTCAAGACTTCCTTTGCATTTTCCTAGCTCTCTCTACTTAAGAAAATATACAGTTTGATTATTGCTTTTAGTTTTTTTTATAAACATTTATGTTATGGGAATATAAATGTATAGAAATACTAAAGAAAAGATAATTGATCAGGAAAAACATTATAATTTTTGGGGACACTTGAAATTTGTTTGGAAGTAAAAGTAGAATGTAATATTGAACTCTGCCAAGGAATTTATAAAGGAAGTACATAATTTGTTCACATTAACAATATTTCTATGTATTTATTTATAGATGCCCTTTTCTATATCAAGCTGTTAATCTCAGGCCTTGTTACATTAACTCATTAGTTATCTGTAATTGAGTATATTATTTAAATACTGAAAATTAAATATCTTAATTTTTTTGGTACTGATTCTTTTGATTAAATTATAAAACTGGATTTATTATGAATTTGTAATAGTGGATTAAATTTTGCTTTCTATATATCACTTCCTATTTTAATAGGTTCATGTTTCTTTATGAATGTAAAGGCAGCTGATATTGATTATGTGTCTTTTTTATTTTACAGGAATTTGTTTTTCTAATCATTGATTCTTAGCTGATAAATCAACGTGGTTGATCTGTAGAAAAAAATTCAATCATATATCTTACATTTCTGAAACGAAATGTTGGCAAAGTTTAGCTGTTGGTTTTTTATTTTGTAAGAAAAGCTCTTGATTATGTGAAATAAAAGCTGCTTTATCTTATATGTTTATTTAAGTAACTATGCTGAGTTTCTTTTGAACCATAATGGTCCTCTCCATCCCTGGTCCACAACCATTCATTAATAGGCTTAATATATACTGTACTTCTTAATTAAAATGTGGGATTAATGACTCCATAATCAAAAGACTGATCTCTTATCAGGACAGTAAAATATAAACCATTTTTCAGTCAGATAAATATTCTCATGTTATTGAACAAAGTCACTGTTTTCTCCTTAAGTATAAAGTATTAAATACAAAGTGTCTAAGGATGGTGCATTGTCCTAAAGGTCACCAAGGTCATTGAGTATATTGTAAAGTATTTGGTCATAGTTAAGGCCAGTAGTGTAGTTCAACTTTGATGAGTATAAATTCCCATAGCCATTGGCTGCATGCTGAGAATACCTGTTGATGACGGCTCTGCACAATGTTTGGTTACTGTGTGCATGATTTTCTTCTTTATCAAGTCTCTGAAATTAGTCTTTTCATCTAAAACGTAGTATTTCAGAAACATTTAGTAATTACACAGTAGGAATTCAATGCCATTTTTAGCACAAATGGCAATTTCTGAATTGCTAATAGATATAATTTGTGCTGAGATTTTACAGAAATTGCTGAAGAAAAAGTGCTTTCTTTCCTGCTGAGATTAATTTATGAAATAATTCAAAACATTTTTAGACAGCAATTGAGCATGATTATGGATATAAACATATTTCGAATATAACTTTTTGTTACACGCAGAATTGTGTGATGATGCAGGTAACTTTAATATGTGCAAACTGGTTCTAGCTCTTGAAGCCAACATTCACCATTTAACCCATTGTTCTCTTGTTGAAATTGTTGTGTCTTCCACAAGGAATGGCATCCAAGGAGATTTTTGATTTACACTTTACAACTTTGCAAGCTTACCTGAAAATACTATTATTTGTATTATTTCTTCTTTTCTTTTCTTTCTTTTTTCTTTTTGGATTTTTGATATAGAGTCTCCTGATGTAGCCCTGACTGTCTTAGAACTTACTGTGTATACCAGGCTGGTCCCTAACTTGCAGAGATCTGCCTGCCTCTGTCTCCTGAATGCTGTGATTAAAGGTGTGCACGACTGTACATGGCTACAATTATTATTTGTTAACTATAACTCCAATTGCTTCTTTTTAAAATTATTTTTTAATTTTGTTTTTTGAAAATTGTGATTAAACCTAGGGCCTCATGTATTCTGGCCTACTACTATCTTCAACTCCAGAAGACTTGATCTGAATTAAAAAGAGGAAAAAAAGCAAAACCTTTCAATTTTAGCAATCTGAAAATGTATTAAATGATGAAATTTATTTCATATTTGAAAATAATGTCAAAAACCAAGTACTAAAAGATACTGAAGAGTATGTAGGCTGCTGTCTTCCTGAACACTGGTTTGTTATGTACATGTTTTCAAGTGCATGGTTTTTCTACTCTGAGAGCTAGTAAGTCAAGTATTGTGTAGTCATGCTTGGGTCCGTTGGCTTGTTCACTTCATGTTTGTAAAGCTCAGTATCTGTGTTAAAAAAGCACACTGTTATTATATTTTACATATATATTTATTTTTTCCTGTTTCATAAGCCCTAGACATTTAGGTTTCTTCTTTGTAAGAGCTGCCTCTTGCTTAAAGCAGAAGGGTGTTACTTGCAGTGACGTGCGTGTGAACGTTGTAGATTTCATTCACAAAGAAGTAAAACTGTTAGGGAAGTGTACTTTGCATATAGTTGAAAGTCCTGATTATCTTTAACATTGTATCTTACAATTGGGTTAATCTTAGCATACCTTTGGAAAGCCAATGTCAGAAGGAAGTAATTTATTCTGAATCAGCATATTTTCACTGATGGAAATATGTTTGCATGCTTTGCTGAATTTAATTGATTGAAGTGTTAATACATTTTTCTTGAAGAGATTGTGCTAATTTCTGTATTTCTTTTTAGGTTTTGTATGAACAGTTCAAGTTTTTCTTGAATCTCTATTTTCTGGTAGTGTCCTGCTCACAGTTTGTACCAGCATTGAAAATTGGCTACCTCTACACCTACTGGGCTCCTCTGGTAAAATACTTCTATAGTTATGCTATATTATGTAATACTTAGCGTCTAGTTTTCATAGTTGAATGAGTGGGATAAACTGACTTTATTTTATATATGGTGTTGCTGCGCACCAGTGACCTTTCGGTAAAGACCATGCGGAGTTTTGTGACTTAACTCCCGTGAGTCCTGCGAATAAGTAAGTGTACTGCCAGCGCATGCCTGCAGAGCTGCAGCTGTGTAAGGCCCTCCTTCTGGAGGGGTCACAGAGTCTTCTGCCTGGGGCCCTCTGCACCTGTACTCAGGTAGCAGTAGCCTGCCTGCCCCTGCTGCTCCTTCCTGTGCCATTTAGTTGTTGGGAATGCTGCTGCTTGGCTCTGTTGATTATTCTCCTGGCACTTGGTTGGTGGTGAAAGTTCTGAGGTGTTTGGTTGCAGGGTAGTTTCTGATTGCTCACCCAGTGTTTTTTCAATGGCTGATAATAGTGTACCTCTTTCAGATATATTCTCTCTTTATAGTTTTATATGATTTGTTGGTTGTTGTGGTTGCTATTTTTTGGTTAGATGATCAGAGGCAATACAACAGATAAAATTATCCCCTCTATGCAAGAGGGTGAAGTGCTCAGGTGTCTTCAACATGTGACTTCAGAGTTGAAGATCTGAGTGTCTGCTCTTGAGCTGATCCATGCTGGCTCATGTAGGCCCCTTTCCCACCTAGAGACTTCCTAGTGAGTCTGTAGAGCCGAAGGGAGAGGAGGACCCTTGTTTCAGGTCAGGTCCAGTAAAGTTATACTGAGGTGTTGCTAATGACTCCAGTCCACAAGCCATAACAGTAGGGTAGATTTGAGGAATGACAGTGGCATTCCATAATTGTATGGAATATAAATGCAAAATGAATAAATGAATGCATGTTTCACTTGCTAAATCAGTGTTTTATTGTTGTAAAGAGATACCATGACCATGGCAACTCTTACAAAGGAAAACATTTAATTGGGGCTGGCTTACAGTACAGAGGTTTAGCTCATTTTTGTCATGGCAGGAAGCATGAAGGCATGGAGGCAGACATGGTGCTGGAGAGGTAGTTGAGAGTTTTTCTGGATCGGCAGGTTTGTCATCAGTATATATTGAAGACCTTTAAAATGAGCTTACTATTTTGAAGGGATTTATTTTGTAGAAATATGGTGATTGCTAAGACAAAAAAAAATGCTTAATACTGTTTTTTAGTACATTTTAGAATAAAACTGCACAGGCTGTGAACCTAGAAAGAAGTCTGCAAGAGAGGACAGAGAGGTGCTGAGGAATGTGGGGAAACCAGTAGGACATGAGACGAGAAAGCAGAAAGGAAGCTCTAGGGAGTGGGTAGAGGAGTACAAGGTGGGGTTGGGGTAGAGGACAAGTGCCCAGGAGGACAAAAAAGAAACAGTTTGTTTGAAACTGAGCACTATGCTCACTAAAAGTTTTAAGTGCGTGTAGGGTGAACACACAGTTCTTTTGATCAGCTCCTTTGTATCCAGCACTACTACAGGCAGTGTTTATATTGTGAACAAAGCTGTACAAAATCCTATCCTACTAGAACTGAATTGTCAGGGAGAAGATAGTCTAGAACAGATACTGGTCTAGGTCAGTGAATAAGTGCATGAAATTGTAATTAATAATGAAAATGCAAAACCCTAAGGAAAACTCCATAGTTTTAGAATGGCCATTCTAATTCTATTTCACTGAGAGGTAGTGTTTGGGACTGGGCAAATGTTTGAGTGATTCCCTTAATCTAGCTTGTGTGATTTTTTTGTTTTTTGTTTTTTTGTTTTGTTTTGAGACAGGGTTTCTCTGTGTAGCTTTGTGCCTTTCCTGGATCTCGCTTTGTAGACCAGGCTGGCCTTGAACTCACAAAGATCCGCCTGCCTCTGCCTCCCGAGTGATGGGATTAAAGGCGTGCGCCACCACCGCCCGGCTTGTGTGTGATGTTTTTATTTGTGAGTTCATTATGATAAAATGATTTTTAATAATAAAAATATGGAACCTATCTTATAATTCTGAAATAAATTCCATATGGTTAAATTTTTTTAAAAATTTTCTTTAGTGAGTTTATAATTAAAGAGCCAACAGCATACCAGAAGCTTGTTTCTTAGATTTAAAGATGATCCAATGTGCTCACTAACTCCTTTAGATTTCTGCTAAATCAAATATTAAGAGACATGTACACAGCATAAGCATTCATCCTTCTTTTCTTTCAGATACAAACAAGTTTTGCTATTGCAAAATCAAGAAACAAAAAAAAATTCATAAAAGTAGCTCAATTCTCAGATCTAAATATGGCAACCAAATTCAAGACTGAAAGAAGTGAAACAAAAAGGGCCTTTCATTCCCACTCCTCACAAGCATAATGAACAAGTTTCAGACTAAAATATCAAAATAAAGTTAAGTGTTATATGCCCCAAACTTAGAAAGCACTTCAAGAACAAACCTATACCTGAAATCAAGCTAACAAACTTAAAATGAAACCGGAACTGAAAATGAATACAGGCATGAAAACAAGGAAGTTGCCTTGGTGTACACTATGTTCTATGCATGCATAAGCACATGTATAACACTCAGGTGTGCGCGCGCGCGTGTGTGTGTGTGTGTGTGTGTGTGTGTGTGTGTGTGTGTGTGTGCACACACACATAAATACACACAAATTCATTCCAACTTGGTAAAATAAAGAAAATTTATGAAAATATGAAATAAAATTCTTCACAAAGTATCCAAATAAAGGCATTTTCTTTCCTTCCTTCCTTCCTTCCTTCCTTCCTTCCTTCCTTCCTTCCTTTCTTTTTTTTCCCCTAGAGAACCCATTGGGAGACAGAGGCAGGCAGATCTCTATGAGTTGAGGCCAGCCTGGTCTATGTAGGACATTTCAGACCAGCCAATAATATATAGAGAAACCTTATCAACAAAAAATTAATAAAAATAAAACTAGTGAAACCAGAGTTAATAGTAAAGGCAAAGTGCAAAATCAAAGTATGACTAAATATACCTTGCTTCAGATTTTTAAGAATTTGTATTCTCAAACTATCATTGTTTAACTTAAATTTTATTCTAAACTGCAAATAATATTTAAATGATGTGTAAAACTATAGAAAAAGAGGGAAGAAATAAACCTACTAAAGTCATAAATATGGTTGTATTTAGTTTTAGCAAATGCTCTGTTTTAAAATTTTCTTTAATGATATATTGTCTTCATCAAAAAAATAAATAAAAATATTCCAGACATGGTGATCTGTACCTTTAATCCTAGCACTGGGAGACAGAGGCAGGCAGATCACTGTGAGATTGAGGCTAGCACAGTCTACATAGTGAGTTATAATCTGCCCAGGGTTACATAGTGAGGCTGTCTCAAAAATAAATAAATAAAATTTTAAAGTAAACTCCTAGAAAGTATGTAGCATACATAATATTTTCTAAATGTACGTAAGGAGTTATGAAGAAACAAAATTATTTATCACAGCAATATCTAATAACAAAAATTTAGAAACAACCTATCAAGAGAATGGACTTATAAGTTACAATGTAATCTTATTAAAAAATATAGAAATAAAGATGAAATGGATATACATGTGCAAAAATGGACCAATTTCATAAACCTATGTTAAGCCAGAAAAACATGTTGCAATAGGATACAAAGTAAGGTCACTTTCATAAAATATTTTTAAAGATGCAAGACAATAGTGCATACTATTTTAATGATCTATTCTTGAGTCCTAAAAGTTACTAAAATGCAGAAAATTACAATCTTACATTCAATTCAAAGACTGCCTCTAGTGGTCTACAGAGCAAGTTCCAGGATAGCCAAGGCTATACAGAGAAACCCTGTCTCAAAAAAACCAAAGAAAAAGCAGCAACAAAAAAAGAGCAAAAGAAAAGAGAAGAACAGAAAACAGTCTTCTATGGGATGATAATAAATTGGTAAGATAAAACAAAAACGAACATGCTGGTTTGGACAGAACAAACAAACAGAAGGAAACGAGCCCAGGAGAGGGCCCAAGAAACTGAGACCCACTCCTTCAAACACTCAGAAATCATATGGAAACACTAAAGTGGAGGCTGTTATATATACTATATTATATATATAAAATATGTGTATGATCTATAAGGTGAAAAGAGAGAAGAAAAACATAAATACAATAAAATGAAAATAAACAATAATAGGTAAAATTTAAAAAATATAAAGAAGATCCCTGATACAGCATTATGAGACAAGGAACTTCCAAAGATGACCTTGAGTTCATTTTCTGTTGGGTGTCTACTGCTGGGCATGCTGCCTACCTATAAGAGTCGTTAGTTTCCCCAGTGAGACTCACTCGAAGGAAGCTAAATTTTCATTTGCAAGTGGTTCTCAGTTGGAGATAGCTTCTGGGTTAGGGTTGGGGCATGTATCCGCTTCTTTGAGCTGTGGACCCTGTCTGGTGCAGGCCCGTGCAGGCCTGTGCATGCTGCTTCAGTGTGTGAGTTCACATGTGTGGCGTCGATCCTGTTGACTTAGAGGGCCTTGTTTCCCTGCTGTCATCTGGCTCTTACTCCGGTTCTTCCTCTTCTTCCTTGGGGTTCCCTGAGCCCTGAGGGGAGGGATTTGGCAGAGACATCCTGTTTAGGGCTGAGTGTTTCAAGGTCTCTTACTACATAATGTCTGGCTGTGAGTCTCTGTATTTGTTCCCTTCTCCTGCACAAGGACATTTCTCTGATGATGGCTGAGGAAGGCACTGATTTATGAGTATAGCAGAATGTCATTAGGAGTCATTTTATTGCTAGGTGTTTTTTTGTTTGTTTGTTTCTTTCTCTTTCTTCTTCCTCCCTCCCTCCCTTCCTCTTACCTCTCTTCTTTTATTTTCTTTTTATTTTCAGAACCATATTATTTGATTTTACCCTAGGTTTCTGCTATCTAGTTTTAGGTTGGTCACCCATGGAGTGTTGTTATATGGGTTCCAGCTCATGGAGGGTGCCTTAAGTCAAATCAAAAATTGGTTGGTTACTCTCACAAGTTTTGTG